GCACATGCTCCTCCCACCGAAGCAGGACTTCGGGAAGACATACCTAACAATTAAGGGTCGCAGCAAGAGGGATCTGCCTAGCTCGAAATAGCTGGGGCAGGCAGAGACCCATGGTAGAACAATATCAACTGGGTACATACAATATTTTCCCATATATACCACCATAAAGTTTTAGAGCCAAAATGTAAGAGGACTCAACCTCCCAGTACAAAAGGCACCTCCTGGGGAAGGACATAGGCAAACTCGATGCCAACATAGTGTGCCTACAGGAAACACACTTCAGAGGCACAGCCCATCCTAGCATTCTGACCAATTCACACCCTCACAAGTTCCACTCCACGTCTACCACTAAATCAAAGGGAGTCTCCACCCTGATAAGTAAAAAGGTAGCTTTCGAACGGATAACCAAAGACACTGATAGAGAAAGCAGATATGTCATTATAGTAGGGAACATAAACAATGTCTTATACAACATAGCAAACGTATATGCCCCCAACACCAACCAGAGGAATTTTATACACAAAATAATTTCCAGACTATCCAACATCCAACAAGGCACGACAATCATATGTGGGGACTTAAACCATGTTCTCAACCCAGCCTTGGACACCACTCTCTCCCAAAATAGCCCACGATACAGACCACTTAAGCGTCAGAGCGCAACTCTAGCGAAACTACTGTCCCTATATCATTACTACGACGCATGGAGAGTCACACACACAGAAGATAGGGAGTATACCTATCACTCACAGGTCCACAACACTTATTCGAGAATCGACGCGTTCCTGGTGGAGGGAGGGACACTTGAGCAGATAGAGGAATGCAGGGTGGGACAGATAGTATGGTCTGACAATGCTCCTATGGAACTGACACTAAGGGACACTTATGACTTTAAACACAGAAGTCCTTGGCGACTCAATGAAACCCTCCTGCTGGACAAGTCCTTCTCGGAGAGTATATCCGATTCCCTAAGGCACTACTTTACAGATAATGCCAACCCTGAACTACAGCACTACACAATATGGCAAGCCCATAAGGCGGTTGCCCGGGGACTCCTTATAAAACGAGCAGCATACCTAAAAAGGAAAACACAGACGCAGGTGTTACAATGGCAAAAGGACATTGACACCTTGACGATACAAAACCAAGCCCACCCCACGAGCCAACTGAAGGAAAAAATATCCCTGGCGCACCCACAACTACGCCAAAACGCGCTTTACAGAGTAGGACACACCTTAAGAAAGCTGAAAGCGACACATTACTCCCAAGGGAATAGAGCGGGTAAACTGCTGGCATCAAGATTAAAAAAAAACGACAGCAAACACAGAAAATAGCATTTTTACATTCTAGAACGGGGGAAAAGTGATGACGCCTCTCGCTATTAGTAACGAGTTCGCACAATACTATGGGGACCTGTACAATCTCCAACATGACCCAACCACACACTCCCCGACAGATACAGAAATAACAAATTACTTAGACAAAATCACACTCCCGACCTTAACGACTCAGCAACAAGAAGCTCTATCCCGACCGGTTACCCCAGCGGAGGTAAGCGACACGATAAAGACACTACCGAAAGGCAAGGCCCCGGGTCCAGATGGCTTCGCCAACTCCTATTACAGTACATTTAAAGACATCTTGGCACCCTACCTAGCAGAAGTATTCAATGAAGCCATACGCACAGAGACCCTCCCTGGGGAGATGCAACTGGCCCACATTATCACCTTACCCAAGCCGGGCAAACCTCTGACTTACCCACAAAACTTCTGACCCATATCCCTTCTTAACACGGACACCAAAATACTGGCCAAACTTTATGCATTAAGGCTGGGACCAATACTGCCACATATCATACACGACGATCAAGTGGGGTTCGTGACAGGGCGCCAGGGAGCAGACAATACCAGAAAAGTCCTCAACCTTATGCCAAGCCTAGGGACAACACACGCAGGGGGGGTTTGCTATCACTGGATGCAGAAAAGGCCTTTGACCGGTTGGGATGGGGGTTTCTGAAGGCGGCCCTACAGCAGCATGGGCTCCCGGGGGGCTTTATTTCAGTGGTCAGGGCACTATACTCGGCACCAAGAGCTCAGGTTTTAAACTCAGGATTCGTATCTAACAAAATAGAGATTACAAACGGGACGATACAGGGGTGTCCCCTGTCCCCTTTGCTGTATGTACTAGCGCTGGAGCCACTGGCTGTGGCGATCAGGGATCACCTGGCTATACATGGAGTCTGAGTGGGAGACGGAGAGTACACTCTCAGTCTCTTTGCGGACGACATACTCCTGACCCTGACACAACCACAAATATCCTTACCTAATCTAGTACAGTACATACAAGACTATAACAAAGTATCAGATTATAAACTCAATCTCACAAAAACACAGGCAATGGGAATCCACCTCCCAGGACGAACCCTCCAAACACTGACGGAATCCTTTAACTTTGACTGGAGAGACGATTACATAACCTTTTTAGGGATCAAGCTAGCCAAGACAACTCACCAAATGTTCAAATACAACTACGAGAAACTATCTCAGGAAATAACACAGACTTTCGACCAGTGGAGCAGTGACTTCCACTCGTGGCACAGACGCATAGCGGCATTTAAAATGTCACTGCTGCCAAAATTACAGTACTTATTCCGTTCATTGCAGATTCCCATTCCTAGGCAATATATGACCACCTTACAAAAAACCATCACACGATTCACGTGGGCAAACAACACCCCTAGGGTAGCACTCTCCACAATTAAAAAATCAACAGAGAAAGGGGGCATGAGCTTTCCGGACATTAAATTATACTACAAGGCTGCACTTTTATCCACGGTAATCACGGCACATAGGGTGGGAAAACCACCGCAATGGGTAGCTATTGAATCCCATGAGTCATGCATGGCTGGGATGCACCATCTATTTTGGGTACCAAAACACCAAAGACCAACAACACCCCATATGCTGGAAACCACAAAGCTACTGATGCACACGTGGGACACAAGCAGAGAACACCTTAGCAGCTCAAGGGTAACATCACTAGCCTCAACAATGTATAGCATATATCTGAGGAACCAAACATTTGACTATCGGACATGGACGGCAGCAGGGTGCACACATATTCACGACCTGTACGACGGGCCCTCCCTGAAACAGTTCCCGGACATACAAGCACAGTACAAAGTACCAAACAGAGCAATCTTCTCATACTTACAGCTCAAATCGCTACTACAACAACCCACGGCCTTGCCTACGACACCTATGATCTCCAGTTACGACACATGGTGCCTCAGAGGCGAACCACACAAACAAACCCTCTCATGAGTGTACGGATCATTACTAGCAAGCACACATAATTCCACAGACAATTTCATTCAGGCATGGCACAAAGACCTAGGATGCACATTCTCAGAGCACCAGTGGACTGGAGCCTTCACAATCCACAAAGGCAACACCGCCTGCATCACACACTTTGAAGAAATAAGAAAATTACAGTATAGGTGGTATCTAGTCCCAACAAGGCTAGCACATATATTCCCCGGCACCTCTACCCAATGCTGGCTATGCTGCTTGGAAAGGGGCTCGCTATTGCACATCTGGTGGGAGTGCAAAGCCATCCAACCCTACTGGACCATTGTGAGCGAAATCGTTGATCGTCTATTCCACACGATAGTAGCAGCATGCAACCTCATAGCAAAACACTGGAATCTAGAGTAGCCCCCACAAAAACCAGACTGATTACGCAAATCCAAGCAAATTGGGAATATGAGCGCATGGCGGCCCACCAGCTTGAAACGAAAGGGGCAACTATAGAGGCAGGCCATATCTGGGATAACTATTGAAACACGGTGAAACATCAGACACATGGAGCTGAATAGAACTTATTGTCCGGCAGACCGCTAGGGACTGCCCTGAGAGAAAAGGAGACTCAGGGGAGATAGCTCATATCACCAACACACACACCGTGTAGATGGAAAACGTATGGACAAAACATATAGACAAACTGAACCCACTTGTGTACATAAGTTAAACCCCCTACCTTACCCATCCACCACCCAGCCCCCCCCCCAACCCCTTTCCTCACCGTCCCACAAGGTACAGAGGCAGCTCCAAAGATACAACAAAGGGTGAAACAGAGCTTGTTTACTAATGTGATGCCTCATAGATGAGGTGAACGGTTAAAACTCTTCAACATTGTTAGAAAAACTGTAATGTACAACACAATACTTGATCATGCCTGCATTACTTGATGGTACCCCCCTCTCCTATCTTCCTTTCTGTACCCCAACACGTACTTGAAAAAGTTAATAAAAATTGTCAAATTGAAAAAAATAAAATAAAAATAAGTTTTACTTACCTCTGCCAGTATCCAATCCAGTGTTCCCCATAAAGGAGCATTGAATCAATACTTTCATATGGAGGCTTCCACGTCACATGACTACGTTTTACCCTGTGAAAGCAGTGTAAGGGCCTCTTGTGGCTGCCCTAATGTCAGCCACTAGAAGAGGCCTACACCATGCAATGTAAACTGTGCAGTTTCGAAAACAAAAACTACGTTTTACATTGCATGGTTAAAACGACACAGCTACTGCTTCCAAACCACTTCATTAAGATGAAGTGGCTTCTTGACTAATGACTAATGTTCTTTTTAATATTCTTCATACCACTGCATCAACACAAAAGAAAAAATACATGCATATACTTATGTGTTGTGAATTCTAGAAGCATGTTTGATGAAAATGCCCATATTTCACTTTGTAATGCTCATGCAAAACATGCTTGGTTTAAAAAACAATAATGGTGGTATAGTCACCTCTATAAAATGTAGTCCTTTCCCACATAAAAAATAATGACAATTGCATATGTATTTTTTTGTTAAATAGAATAAAAAATAAATACTGTTTTCCCTCTACATGTATCTATATGTGTTTATTATTTTTATATATATATATTTTTTTTTTTTAAACACAAACTAATCATGAAATGAAAAAGTGAAGCAGATAGCAGAGCAGAGTTGGGGTTTTATTTGTTTTATTGATTTACACTTGTGGCATTACAGCAATTACTGGTAGAACCGAATAACTCCATTCCTACTATACGTGGTAAAGTTAAATCATTTGTATCACTCCCAAGATTAGTCACAGAAAACAAGACACAGCCCAAGCAGTGGATGAAAAACCTTTTCATGGATGTTATATTGCAGGACAATGAAGCTGTTGTCTAAAACATCTTTAAAATGACATAGGGTACACATATTTCCTGCAATAAGGTATTAATAGAATGTGTAATTATTGAAATAAAAGGTTTGAATTGATTCTTTGGTGAACGGGTTTATCTCAATTTATATGTGGCAAAACTAAGTGGAGGGGGTTACAATCAATCCAGGAAGTACTGTTCGCGATACTTCATTTTCTACAAAACTGCTGAGTTTATTTATGAGCACAAACAGGAGTTTCAAAGAGTTTAAGTTGAAATGTCAACATTTTAATGAAGAATGTTCATAGTTGTTCCTAATTTCCAGCATCATGTGCAATATTTTTGCTCTAAATGGGAAATCCAGCAGGTTGAGAATGAGAGGCCCAAATCATTTCCTTATAAAGTAAATGCATAAAAAAAAAAAAAATTATACATATATATTTTTTTAAATTTATTTTCCTTTTTCTTCAATAGGGGTACTCCAGACTAGAATTGTGCAAACAATAGTTGCTGCCAGTTTGTTCAAATCATATTTATGATTCACTCAAAACGAATCTATCTGCCATTGAAGGGGAAATACCTTACCAATCAATTTGTTTGTGCGTGGAATAAAAAGAACTTGATTCGGACAAACTAGCTGTAAATTATTTTTGCACAAGGCTAGTCACGATTGGAAATGGGCAACCCAAGGCCAATCCAATGACGGCCATAAATTAAGCCACAGGTTTCTTAACCCAGGTCAGAGTTGATAAACTAATAGTTTGCTAGCTGTTTTAGACTAGAATTCATATTGAGGGAGAGCAAAATCCAAAACATCTGGCATGCTATTGGTTTGCTATCACAGATTCAGATGGACCAAGTTGTCCAACTGAAGTGAATATTTACCCCTTCTCATACAGATTCAGTTCGACAATTTATTCCGCTTACAGTGCCATCTGGTAAGAAAACAGGGGTCAAATACTTAACTACTGAGGGATGGAGAAATGATCATATTACTAAATGAAATATCATACAATCACAAGTAACATACAATCAATTGTAGCTCATGTCTGAGCTCAGGCTGTAAGGCTAGGATGGATGAAATGAGGTTGTGGCAGGTGTTTTGGTTGTATTTTTATAACCAGGTTTGTTGACTAGCAAACTTTTTTAAACAGTCATTGTACAAAAGCTCACTTCAAGTTTTTCCTGAAAGAGGGGCCTGCAACACATTTTACTGCACGTAATAAAAACTTCAGTAAGGCACCCTGGTTTCTGGACCTCAGACAAATTAATTCATTAAGCCAAAACTGCACATCATGAATACATTGAAATCAAAACAAATGTATATAAATTAAATATTGTAAAATGCTATTTTTTGTTCTTTCATATAAACGGTAAGAAATTTCCACAAATAAGAAAATAAATTGTGGAAGATAAATTAATCTAAAGCGATACTCTAAAAACTCCACAACAAGGGTAGCTTAATGAAGCACTTGTACTGCTCCTGTAGTCTCATTTGTCAACTATCGACCAACTAGGAGTTAAATCACTTTTATTTCTGATTACCCAGCACTAGCCACACCCCCCCGGCTGTGACAGCACATAGTGTTTACCTAGATGTTTCTATCTCCTGCTCTGCTAGCTGAATTTTAATCACACACTGGTGCCTCCTGCAGGACATTAAAGAAACAATATAGGTGTAGAGGAAGCAACTCTCGTGGCTATGGATATCTGGAAGACAGACAGTAAAGGTTTGTTTACGTCTTCAATGTAAACATTACAGTGCCTACAAAACTGCAGTGGTTTACATTGCAGGGTTAAAATGACAGAACCATTGCACCCAGGTTACTTAATTGAGATGAAGTGGTCTGGGAGACTTTAGTGGTCCTTTAACACCACAGGAGATACAAAATTATAAACCAAACACTGTGCAATAAAGGAAGTTTAAACATATGCAGGGTTATTCTCTTAAGTTAGAATTCAAAGAAAATTATAACTCTTAGACCAAAGTAGCCAACTTTATGTTTAACTGCCTTAGAGAATTTTTCCAGTTCAGCTACTTTGACCTAAAATTTTTTTAAATGCTCTTTGAGTTCCCACTTCATAGCCCTCTATTTCTCTCTTTACAGGACATATGTAGACAAATTGTGTAGGTAGGTGTGACTACAGCTGCATAAACAAAGTAATTTAACTTCTAGTGATTTACCAGTTGCTAGATTTTATTGGCTGCTTTGAGTCATGTCATTGCAATGACACAGCAAATCACATTATTCTTATTGGCCGGATTGCAAGGATGCCTGCTGGGGGACTGCCTGGGTTGTCAGGCAGATATCTATATATATATATATATATATATATATATATATACATATATATACATATATACATATATATACATACATACATACATACATATACATACATATACATACATACACACATACATATACATACATACATATATATATATATATATATACACACACACACACACACAGTTATGTTAAAAAAAAAAAAATTTATATAATTTCATTCTAAGTGTATTTTGATAGATATATATTTAATAGCAAAATGCACTTGGAATAAAGATTATATATACACACACACACACACATACACTAAATATATATATATACACACAAATTAATTCTACGTGTATTTTAATGTATTTTTACATAATTGTGTTTTTATTACTGCTATATTGAAGAACCTGCCTGACAACACAGGAAGAAAGTCCAGAGAATTTAATTTGCAAGCCCTATATATTTGATCATGTAATTTTACAAACCCCCATAAAAGCTGTACATGGGGGTACTGTTGTACTCATGAGACATCGGTGAACACAAATATGTGTATTTTATTGTAGTAAAAAGCTAAAAGTATTTTTACATTCACATGTAAAATGCCATGCAGAACATGGGAAATAATGTTTCTTAATTCCTCTCACCTTTTAGATTTTATTCATATTACATAGTTTCATATATAAATATTTGATGTGGAATGAAAGCCCTGTTTCTCCTGAACAAAATTATATATAATAAGTGTTGGTGCCCTTAATATGAAAGAGGTGAATTATGGTTGAACAGACATATAGCTCAAATTCCAGGTTTTAGTTCAGAACTTGTACAATTGCCTCTGTCCTTAAAGGACCACTCTAGGCACCAGACCACTTCAGCTTAATGAAGTGGTCTGGGTGCCTGGTCCAGCTAGGGTTAACCCCCTTTTTTTTTTTTAAATAAACATAGCAGTTTCAGAGAAACTGCTATGTTTATAAATAGGCTAATCCAGCCTCTAGTGGCTGCCTCACTGACAGCCGCTAGAGGCGTTTGCGTGCTTCTCACTGTGAAAATCACAGTTATCACAGTGAGAAAATGCCAGCGTCCATAGGAAAGCATTATGAATGCTTTCCTATGAGACTGGCTGAATGCGCGCGCAGCTCCTGCCGCGAATGCGCATTCAGCCGAAGAAGAGGAGGCGGAGAGGAGGTGGAGAGCTCCCCGCCCGGCGCTGGAGAAAGAGGTAAGTTTAACCCCTTCCTCCCCCCAGAGCCAGGCGGGAGGGGGTCCCTGAGGGTGGGGGCACCCTCAGGGCACTATAGTGGTCCTTTAAGTGTCTAAACTGTAGGGACATGATCTATACGTATTTTCACTTAGGCTAAAAATGTAGAGCATTCAATTGTTTCATTACGAATGATTTTTATTTTTTTCTGCTGTTGGGCTGTGCATTTTCTGCATATAAAACACAGCCATTGTTTTAGTTTGTTTATGTAAATCTACTAATCACACAGTTTTATTTGCAAAGATTTAGGGCCAAACAATCATGCTGCCAAAATAGTAATGTTGGAGAAGATTTCCAATTTAACCATTTGGCCTACAATTTGCAATTCCTTTGTCAGAAGAACTTCTCTGTACCTTCGGCTTCCCCAAATATGGTTGACAATGACTACAATGAGGTCCTTGGCCAGTATTGTTGGTGAATTCTGCAGTTCTTTAACCCCTTAAGGACACATGACATGAGTGACATGTCATGATTCCCTTTTATTCCAGCATTTTGGTCCTTAAGGGGTTAACATGGGGAAACTACATTTACCCTCAACTAGAAACTGGGGCTTAACGCTGCAAGAGACCCCATCTAATTTTCAATGAGAGGGACATAGCTAATTTGAAGTTAATCAACACAGGAAATGTAATATTCTTATCAATTCTCCTTTTGGAACAGACACCATAGACTGCTACCTGAGATTGTGGAGGAACTACAGAATACCAAAAACAAACTTAAAAACAGCAGCATTGAACCCTTACAATTATCTGTTACTCTACATCGGAGATTCTGGCTTATGGAGGTTTTAGCCCCAAATCATCTGACATTCGATATCACTGTTTAAAAAAAAAGTTCTTCTTACTTCTATAACAATGCGCACTATACATTTCAGAAACTTTGGCCAAACTACAAATATCCAACTTTTGCAGATTACTTTCCACTATCCTTAAAAACAAATCCTCCCTGCATATGAAATATCCAGTGAGAAGAGTGGTATATCCTAACTGGGAACAAGTTAGATTCAGCCCTTTTAAATTAAGAAAAGGGATTAGTTCCCACAATTCCATGCACTATAGTTAACAGTTGTCTGTGCTGATAAAGTTTTCAATGATCACCGTTTACAAAAACTCACCATGGTTGATTAGAAATCTCTCCCAGGAGCGATTAGTGTAAGAGTAGTGGCTTGCCGTACTTACTCAAATGCCACGGGTGGACTATACTTCCACCCCAAAGCATTTATCTATATACATTCAGCATTCTATGTAAACAGACAGCAGATAGATGAATACTAGAAAAGGCAGTATTAGCTTGATAAACTGGTGGAAAGTGGTTATCTATAGCTACAAAAAGCATGTCTCATCCACACTCAATTTTACAAAGACAGAAAGGTTTTTAGGTGGACATGTTCGAATTGTACATAGCAGCAGACACACATGGCTGATGGCAAATGAGGAGATACATAAGAAGTATATTAAGCAATAGGATTTAGTTGGCATGTTCGTTCTTTGAACTAGATATTCTTTGCAGCTTTAGAACGTGACCATCAAGTTCCTTCCATCTGATTGAAATAGGGAGATGTTGCACGGCTAGATTAACAGAGAGATCCACCTGTATTTGTTGCATTTAAGGATCAAACCCACAAATAGCCATGCAGGGGATGGAAGCACTAGCATAGTCCGCTTCCACGTTTCAAGTTCCATCCATAGAAGTGTCTCTCAGTGCGGAAGAGCAGCGGGATCTGCTCCAAGGAGGTAGTGTGCCCTAAAACACAGTGGTGCCGGTCACCTGCTGTCAAGGGGCCCCCTCGAAGGAGGAGCAGAGAGCTAGAGTAGTGGTCTCATTCTTGGTGCGTTTTTAAGGATTCCATGCTTGAACTCTCCCTGAAGAGAAACAGCTAAATATTTAATCCAATCCTTGCAATACCAGAACCTTAAAATCAGTACAGACTTTTTTTATTTTTCTTTTTTAAATAAAACGTTTGTGGAGTATTGAATGGATATTGCAAATTTTAGGCTGTGATAACCAATTTTTTTTTTTTACCAGCTCCTGGATACTGTCTTCTACATAAGAATTTTGAAAATGGGAAACTTTTATTTCCTCTTTATCAGTGTCATTTTGCCCAACGTGAAAGGCAAGAGTTTGCTGTAAATAAAAGGGGAGGGTTTTCCAGCATTCGTAGCAAATCAAGGTACTTCCGTTTGGGCACCAGGAACAGCCCAGGTTTATGTCAAACTTTTCCTATACAGTTGGTTGTAAAAATCGGAGGCTACACCCTTTAAAACATGCTTTACTCAGCATACCTATTATAGCCGACTGTAGCAGCTATAATGCCAGCATAACATGGTTCTGTTATGCCAAAAAAAAAAAAAAAAATTATCACGTTTGAGTTCATCTTTCGCAATAGAAATATGAATTTCATCCGTATATGGACATCATTCGTTAGCTGGATGCATTAATTGACATGTTAAGCCAATGAATGCCATCCACACTTAGAGAGCAGTGAAGGGCTGGTCCTCAGATGCTCAGGGCAGTGGGTATGGTTCTTAGCATACCCCTTTAAGCCAACTCACTGACAGCAATGAAAACAATCACAGAAATTACACATGAAGTGGACAGGCCACGTTTTAGTAATGGGTTTCCAGTCTGAGAGTTCGACAGCATACCATTCAATGTATTAATAGAATGGTTTCAGCCTTATACAAAGGAAAGCTAACAGTAAGCATCACCTGGCAAGGACAATATCAATCTGTTTGTTCTAATATAAAAAGGTATTTGTCCTCTTTGTGGATCATAAGTAGTTGGTCAAACAACTATGAAGAACTATTTTGGCACTATGGGAGAACCACTGTATCAAAATACCTTTCCTAGATATAGCAGCTACCAAGTAAAAAAAAAAAAAAAGAAGAAAATAAAAACCATTTGCTCAACCTCATTTTCTCAGTATCATTATGAATATGAAACAGTGTAGCAACCTCCGGATACTTACGATCCACAATCCAGGTACTTCCTATCATTAGACAGACAAGCTCTGCATAGAGTGAAGGAGTGCAACACGCTGTAAAAATTTTAAGGGCAGGTCTATTAACAGGAGCTGCGCTCATCAAGGGAAAATTCACCTGGCTTTGTGTACGATAGGTTAGATCCAAAATGCTTCTAATGAGACCCTAAATTTGTTTTGTAAAGTTACTATTAAAAGGCTTTGTTTATTATGAGATATAGATAGATTTATTTAAACAACATTTGCAATGCCCTCATCAATTCTCCACAATTTCCAGTTCAGCGATGAATTTCCTAAGCATATTGTGACATATATTATGACAACACTTCGCACCCAATATATTAGGTACATTGCTGGGTAACTGCCGCAAAAGGGTTAACAATTGAATGAAACATACTGAAAAACTTTGCTAGCGACATTTGAATCTAACAGATGGTTCCATGGTTACAGGTTTGCAGAGTTAATATAATATCCAGCATCAGGGTTGCTTTGAAGTGTGGTTCCATTTAATGACTAATGAATTTGAAGTGTGCATTCTTTGATTAATGTATAAACAGATTTTGTTGATGATCTGTAAGTCTCTCCTTACCAGATGGGAAAATTAGGAGAATAATCTGGAGTCCCTCCATTTTGTCCACCCATGCCTGTTTAAAAATAAATATGAAACATCATGTTAGCAAAATATCGAATTGCATAAGAAACAATGTCGTTTATCCAGTATACACAGAATTGTGGAGGACTGACAATGTAATTTCAATCAATTTACAGTGACATTGAGCATCTACACAACATGGACTGAGTTCCCCCCCCCACCCACCATGACACTGACCATGTTGCAATTTCAATGAAATTCCAAACCAGTGGATGGATATACTGAAACAAAGCTGTGACTATCTGTAGTATTTTTCCTCTGCTTGACTAACTGTAACAAAAGAGAACGACCTTTGAAAGTTTTTGTCACTAGTAGCATTAATCATCGCAGGATCCTGCATAGGCCTCAGCGTTGTACTATTGCGTATGCACAAACGTATAACACTGACATGGGCTGCTGGCAGCTGAAAATGTCCGCAAACACCATGGTGTCGGCTGCGAGGGACAGGTTCAGGTACGTACAACTCCCCTACAGTAATCAAACACCCAGCAGGACACAAAACAGTGGCAGAGCAACTTTAATCCATTATAAAAAGGATGTATTTTTGGATGCCCAAATCTAAGTGAGAAAATATTTTGTAGGTTCTGCTCACATAACCATGCCTCTAATATAACATACTGAATTTGGTTACCCCCACGCTATGCAGCCACTGCTGGCCAATAGGCATTACTGCAGGGAAAAAAGCCAAAATAAATAAGCGGAACTGTAGCTTCCAATTCAATTACAAGAAATGATTTACCGCATAAAATTAAATATGATATATAATATCTAATTTTATGCAATAAATTATTTGTATTTCATTTTAAGGGTTTGGCTCCATATATTTTAAGGAGGATCTTATCTTCTGAATTCGGCACTCACTTTCTGCAACACATGAATTCTACATACGGAATCGCATAAGTTTCCATATTCTACCCATCCACGTGAATAAGTGATAGGGTCCACAAGAAAATAGAGAATTTGGCAACGATATGTCTAAATCAGCAGTCTTAAATTGCTACTGGTTTTACCTCATCTTGGCTGTTATAATTTGTTCTAAATTCTGTATTTTACAGAATGCAATGTGTTCTGATATATACTAGAGAAATAACCATTTATCAAAAAGCAACCAAATGGCAGCTGTCAGAGAGCAGCATTATTCCTGCTTCTGCAAGGGTACTTGATTGCAGCACTGTATAAAAACGATAGCCAGTGTACCATGATGATATCTAATGTTTTAATTCTTTTGAAATTCTTTGCACTTTTCTGATACATACTACTACTACCATAAAAACGTATTAATACAATGTCATAAACACACACATCAACTGTATACCAAGGAGTTCTCAGGAGAGACCTACAGTATACAGGTCAAGGGACTAACCTGTAGTACCACAACAACTGGTGTAGTACCCCAACATTTAAATAATGCTAGATCTATAACATAGCTTTAGGGTTAAACTTTAACCATCTGCAATATATATCAAGCTTGGCCAAAAGGCAGATACATTCCAGCTGTTGTAGAACTAGGCATCCCTAAAGGCTGGCAAAGCATGCTGTAGTAGTTATTTAGGTAGGCAAAGTTTATGGATATTGTAGTTATCTAGACAGGTAAATCTTATAGAAGTAGTTATTTAGGTAGTTAAAGTTTATGGCTATTGAAGTTGTTGTAGTTGTCTGGATAGGTAAATCTTATAGAAGTAGTGATTCAGGCAGGTACAGTTTATAATCTGATTTATCATGAATCACCCTAAGGTTTCTAGAAGCTGTAGCAGCCATGCTAGTCAAGCCGTGTGTGTGTCAGTGCCCAGCCTGCCAGCCCCGGGCTCTCACCCTGCCGGTAGTAGATGCTGTTCACGGTGGGTCCATAGAACTTCCAAGCCAGCTGGATGGCAGTGACACTCAGCACTATCCAGCCCAGGAGGACCTTAAAGATGGCGGCTCTCATGTCATTACTCTCCCACTCCCGGGCGAAATCCGCACTCATGGCCAGCAGGTACCCCAAAGCCTGGCTGAGCCACTCAGAGTCCCAGGTTTCGGCCATGCTGCCCGCTCTCAGCCCAGCCGGAGCCGCGCCATTCCCCGCACAGACACTACCGGCTACCGGCGGCCATCTTGGAGGTGGCAACGAGCGCCCAGAGTCAACAAAGGAGGCGGCGGGGGGTAACTGTGCGGCAATAACCCCCCCTCTCTAACGACAGACACCGAGAGCGCTCCCGAGCTGAGGCTGACTTCCACTGCGGGCAAGAAACGTTGTCAGTCAGGAATGATCCCGTGCGAGCCCGCTATGACAGGTTAAACCCCGCTGACAGCAAGCTCCTCCCACCGCCAGGCCGAACCGCTCAGTAAACATAAACATGGGCGGGGCTTCGCGAGGGCGTAGAGCTTTAAACGTTAGAGACAAAAGCTGCTTGTAACGCGCTCTGATTTCAAAAGTGTCGCCCATTTCAGAGCCATTGTCAGTCAGGGTTATTCACTAAAGTGCAAATTCATGGGAATTCAAGGTGCATTTCAAATTTTATAGCAAGACAGGAGGCTCGTATTATGCATTAACTTCCCTTACTTAAGGACCACTATAGGCACACAGACCACTACAGCTCAATGAAGTGGTCTGGGTGCCAGGTCCATCTAGGGTTAACCCTGCAGCTGTAAACATAGCAGTTTCAAAGAATGACGTCACGGTATAGCGTCATAGTATTTCTGTGGCTGCTCACTGTTTAATAGACATGCCCCTACTTGCGGTATAGCGAGTAGGGGCAGAATGTACTAATACTAAGTAATCTTTAAATGTCTAAGTGACAGGACGTTCGGCAATACTGACAGGAAGCATCGCGGGAACAGGGAGGAAAGCTTAGAATTGGGGGGAAATTTCTCTGACCACCGGAAATGAAGCACACTTTGCTCCTCCGCTGGTCAGACATGGTCAGGCGTAGGAAACCTCAATAAGACAAGTAGTCCCTACTTTGTCTTATGTTTTCAAGAAAACTAGAGCAGACAGGAAGAAATGAAGAACAGATCCTGACAGAGGGAGAGAAGAGGAATTGATTAAAGGACCACTATAGTGCCAGGAAAACATACTCGTTTTCCTAGCACTTTAGTGCCCTAAGGGTGCCCCCACCCTCAGGGTCTCCCTCCCGCCCGGCTCTGGGGACAGGAAAGGGGTTAAAACTTACCTTTATTCCAGCGTCGGGCAGGGAGCTCTCCGCCTCCAATCCTCCTCTTCTCCCATTCGGCTGAATGTGCACGCGCGGCAAGAGCTGCGCGCGCATTCAGCCGGTCTCAGTTACTCCTGGGGGGCCCAAAGCAGCTGCCCAGAGGCCCCTCCGCCCGTAGCCTGCATTAAAACATACAGACACACACACAGCTGGTGTGGTTCTTCTCCCTGTGGTCCAGTGGGTATCTTCTCCCTGGGGTCCTGTGAGGATTTCTCCCCTGGGTCTGCGGGGCTCCTGCAATAAAGCTAGAATTAGATACACACCTGCATTGAAACACAAACACTACATACAAGTACACCACTGCATTCTATTGGCAATGGCAAACACAAAATATGCCCCTACATTCACGCACATACTGTATACAAAAACATGCTTACATTCAAATGCACAAACACTGCTCACAAATACAACCCTGCAAGCATGGGAAAATGTTAGATCTCCAGTTGGCAAATCATTGTTGGAGTTCTACGAAAGATGTTTTGGCAAGAGGAGGTACCAAAAGAATTTCTTGCACTAGGGCACTCTCTACATTAGTTCCTGAACTGTGCAGAGGGAAGTACAGCCATGTTGTATACCTCTCAAGTGTCCCTAGTTAGGAAGGACAGTCCTTATTTTGGGTCCAAAGGTCTCTGTCCCTCTTCTCTATCTTAATGCCTCTCTTTTCTAGGAGCTCCACTTTTTCTAAATCTATAACAGAGCTCCACAGCAATAATACTCACAGTAATGTGTCTTGAAACGACAACAAATGTGTTTAGAAAGTAGTCTGTGGAAATAACCTGCCAAACATGGAGGCAATTGTACAAGTTCTGAATTTAAACAAAACCTGTGATTTGAGCTATATGTCTGTTCAAGCATAATTTACCTCCTTTATATTAAGTGCTACCACACTTATTATATATAATTTGGTCAGGAAAAACAGGGCTTTCATTTCACATCAAATATCTATATATGAAACATAATTTAAAATGAATAACGTGAGAAATTACGAGAAAGTTCTGCATGGGGTTTTAACTGTGAATTTCATTATACTGTCAGCTTTTATTGCAATAAAACACACTTATTTGTGTTCAGCAATGTCTCACGAATAGAACAGTACCCCCCATACAGGTTTTATGGCGTTTTAGAAAGTTACAGAGTCAGATATGGTAGCATTCCCCTTTTCAGTTTTTATACATTGAAATTTGACAGTTCTGTTTGCTGGGCCTATGTTGTCTTTGAGACCGTATAGCAGCCCAGGAATGAAAATTACCCCCATCATTGCATACCATTTGCAAAAGTAGACAACCAAGAATATTCACAATAGGGTATGAAATATATGAGATAAGGGCTGTCCAGTCTTTTTTAGTAGCTACTTAGTCACAAACCCTAGTCAAAGTTAGTGTTCATATTAGTTTTTTGCATTTTTCACACAAAACTCTTTTACTGATTATATCATCATCAGCCCCCAGCACCTCCATGTGTCTCATTATCGCTCCAAGCCCCTTCATGTGTATCATCCCTGACCCAACCCCTCCATGTGTTTCATCCCCCAGCCTCTCCATGTGTCTTGTTCCCCCAGCCCCTCTATGTGTCTCATTTCCCCAAGCCCCTCCATGTGTCTCATCCCCCCCAGACCCTCCACGTTTCTCATTCTCTCCTCCATCCCCCCCATGTGTCTTATTCTCCCATCAACCCATGTGTCTTAATCTCCCATTACCTCAGCCCCTTCATGTGTCTTATTCCCCCTTTTTACCCCCAGCCCCTCCATATGTCTTATTTCTCCATTCTAGCCCCAAGCCCCTCCATGTGCCTTATTCCTCCATTTTACCCCCATCCCCTTCATGTGTCTTATTTTCCCATACCCCAGTCCCCGCATGTGTCTTATTTTCCCATTCTACCCACCCAGCCCTTTCATGTATCTTATTCCCCCTTTCTACCCCCCTCCCCTCCTGTACCGTCTGACTCAGTTAGTGTGGCCGTGCGGTACCAGGTCTGACAGGAAGTGCATGTTGCTCTCACTGACAGCACTTCCTGTCATGATTGGTAGGGAACATAAACACACAGACAAGACACAGCAGACAGAATTGCAATACCGGTCCTCAGAATGGCCAGGCTATGCAAAAGAATAGTCAGAGCAAGCCAAGGTCAAAGGGAATTAGAGAGACGGAATACTGAGAGACAAGCTGAGGTCAGGGAGCAGAGAAAACAGTAAACGTAAGACAAGCCAAAGTTCGGTAACCAATTAAACAGAGAGAAAGAGTATAATGTGCTATTGGGCTAAACAAAGACCACAACAGGGCACTGAGGCAAGGGGGATGTTAGCTTATATACACACAGGGTGTGTCTGATTGGCTAACCTCCAATTAGTGTTAACCACAGCACATGGGAGGTGTTTCTTCCCTCCCCTCTGGTCTCTGAGGTCATCACTGTGTGTCGGGTCACATGACCGGGTCTGGCAAACATATAAGGATGTTGCTCTGGTGCGTGCAGCATCAGAAACAATGTCAGCCTGGAGCACGGCGGCGGGGGCAGCCACACGCTGCGGACAGGGACCAGATGGCGCCGCTCACGATGACTGGGAAAGCAAGGACGCAACAAGCGGCGCGGAGGCAGGGAACCTGACATAACCCCCTCCACGATGACCACTAGGAGGGCGGGAAGCCGAGGGCTTCAAAGGAAAACGAGCGTGAAAGACCTGAACAAGATGAGTGGCGTTCAAATCAGAGGTAGATACCCAGGAACGCTCCTCTGGGCTGTACCCCCTCCAATGGACCAGGTACTGCAAGGAGCCCCTGCAAAAGCGGAAGTTGAGGAGGGACTGAACCTCGTACTCCTCACCGGAATCAGCACGGATAGGACTGGGGCATCTAACAGACCTCGTGTACCGGTTGCACAGTAGGGGTTTCAGAAGTGAAGTTTGTTTTGAATATTTTTATTGTGTGCACAATATAAAGTCATACATCAAATTGATTTGTAATAAAGCAAGTGATTGCACACGCAGGGGCTTAAGCATTGGTTTAACACTGCATATACATTTGGTTGCCTGCGTAGAGGCGGATTTGTCCTAGCCTGTGTTTTTTGTTCACAGTTGGTTGCTTTGTGTTTTATACTCTTATGTATTGTGTTGCCTTTTTAGTTCGGTTATAGCGTTAAGTAAGTGTTTTAAGTTAACTGGTGTGTGCCAGGGCTGCGTGTTTGCTAGTTGGTAAATGCAAATTGTCTCCTGTGCAGAGGCAAATTAATCAGCTTGCTAATTGGAGTCAGACATTAAGCAATAATCTAAGATACAAAAACTTTTTCAACTTTTTTTTTATTTATTTTTTATTCTTTATTTAATTGTGCGAAAGTGGTACAATTGTACCTATTCTGCCACAACAGCGGAAATAGGTATTTGATCAGGCATACATTTGTGTGACATAGAAACATAACAGTTTTTAAACAGCACGTTTTTGGATATTTACTGCATTTGATAGGAAATGTCAGAGATTAGATCTGCGTCTGTCAGGGTAAACAGGACATGTCAGTACTCAGGAAAGAGATCTAAGCGTCGGTTTGTGGGTCTGAAATTATGAAGGTGTCCACGACTGTGTTGAGTGTAAGTACATTGCGTTGTAGGCTCAGGCCCTTGTTTTTAAGGGACAATAACATGCTATTTCCCAGGGTAGGAGTGTCGCCAGTGAGGGTGTCGTTGTCTACAGTTGTAGGTCATGAGGGTTGGGGAGTGTTCTCATTGTCCCACTGACTGCTCTCTCATCCCTGTGTGTTGCATAATGTCAAATGTGTATTGTTAAGCTTTTTACCCCTAACCTTGGGGGCAGCGGGGGGGGGGGTTGTTATCTCGCCGTAATTTTTAACGGGCACGGATGCCACCAGAGAGGGAATCCCTGTCCGTCAGGGGGGTCAAGTAGGGGACCCTATCGCTCAGGTAAATATTGTCTGCGCCAGAGTATTTAACTTATGAACAATTTAAACGATTTAAGCATATAAAACTGAGCAGGCATGGTATAGGTATTAGCTAATAAGGTTAGTAACTTCCAGTCACTATATATTGTCCCGTATAGTTGTTCCTCCTGCTGTGTTCAGGTGGTCGTGCAGAGTGTCTGGCCGGTGCCTGGAGCCGGTAGAGCGCTTTCCTCCAGTTCTTC